CAAAAGTGGGAAGGGAAAAAAAAAGACCATGCATAATTAGTTGAGTCGAGGGCTGAGTCCTAAGGTTGGGGAGTTCCCCATCATTGGGTCCCAGTCTCCGCCTCCTAAGCCCCCCCACGACAACAACGGGCAAGGGATTGGGGGGGAGTAAGGATTAAGAGAAAAACCTCGTCGACGTGCTTCCTGTCTGGCTTCACGTAGTGTGAGTTTGAAGTTTGAATCTGAGAAGTTGCTACCTCAGACTCAAATTTGTAGGTGGGGTAGCCCCTATAAAATACATTACGAGGGTCACCACAGTTGGCACATGTGCGTGATTGTGCAGAGCAGTTCGATCGAGTATGGCCAGGTTGGGCACATAGTGGGCATCTGGCTGTGGAACGGCAATGTTTGGCTGGGTGTCCTAAACGCCAACAATTTTGGCACTGACGAGGAGGTTGGTATGGTCGGACATTAAAGGGAAGGTCATGTCTACGGAAAGTAATTTTGGCGATGTTAGTGGGTTTCTTACGATGATCTCTGGGAGGAATGGAGTAGCATTGTACTGATGTCGCATCATAGTCTGTGAGACAGGCGAGTAAGTCTTCTCCACAATCTGACCAATCTTTGTCATAGATTGGGCAAATTGCTGGGGTGATAGAAACAGTTCCGGTGCAAGTATTGAGGGTTGGATGGGGTTTTGCAAGGATGGGGTTACCATATAGATCAGTTAGTTTTGCTAATGCTACAGCTTGGTTTTCGGATGGTACTGTGACGAGACGGGAACGGCCAGGTCGACTACGGAAAGAGATTTTGCCTACTTGTTTTTGGAGACATTGCTGGAAGAGAAGGGTGTTGTCAGAGTAGGGAGCTGTGGGGGGGATCACAAAAAATCGGTCCCATTTGGCTGGGCTAAATGGAGTATTTAAGATTGTTGTAGAGATAGGGGTAGTAGAAGGGCAGGGCGTGTCGAAGAGGGAGTAGTGTTGAGGGAGGTAGTGTTATGGAGAGGTGGGCAATAAGGCTGTAAGGTATTGATAAGGGAGGATGGGGTAGTTTATGTAGAAGGTTGTGGGGAGAGAGGTGTTGAAGTTGAGCATGCTGGGAGAGTAGAAATGTCTCTAGGGGGTTGAGTGTTGACTACTGTACTAGTAGGCACTGAGGAAGGGGTAGTTGTTGCAGTGTTCGGAGCCGTGGTCAAAGGAGAGCCTGGGGTCAGGGAATCGGGAAGATTTGAATTGTTGGGGCTATTTGATGAAGGGGCAAGCCTCATTGCCCCTACTAGTGGAATTACGTTTTCATTATTGGCCATGGTAAGCCTGGAGTATGTTGGGGAGAAAAACAGTCCACCCCTCAGGGTCCCCTTGAGGGGTAAGGACTAGGCCTAAGCAGGGGAATAATACGCCCATGGCTCCCTCAGGCCGTTCAGGACTGGCCCAAAGTCAGCCTTTCATCCTTTCAGCACGGCTCTCACACCTTACGAAGTGGATAGTAGAAGGGATTGGTGAACGGACAGAAACGAAAAAGTAGGAGTGGAAAAAAGACCATGCAAAATTAGTTGAGTCGAGGGCTGAGTCCCAAGGTTGGGAGTTCCCCCATCATTGGGTCCTAGTCTCCGCCTCCTAACCCCCCCCACAACAACAACGGGCAAGGGATTGGTGTGTGGTTAATGGTTAATGGTTAAAAGCAAGATAAATGTGCTAGACATCTAAGGTCATGTAGCACTATAGTTAATGTTAGTGAAGGGTGGTTGAGTTAGTAATTAGTTGTCTAAGCTGGGCAAAGGAATTAGTGAGTGAAAGGGTTAAGGTCGTGTGTTATATTAGATAAAGGGTATGCATAAGAAAGGTTTCTTGAAGGCATACAATAGATGGGTTATAAGAGGAAAGGATATGATGGTCAGGTCTGTGGGAGCGGAAACCGCGAATATTCCAATGAAGGATAGTTATACTTTCGTTGATTTAGTGATATAGATTGTAGTACGTGTTGGAGAATTTGAAGGGGAAGCAGCTAGAGGGTGGGATAAGGACTGAGAGGTTTGAGATGGGAGAGGTGTGGGAGTTGGTGTTCTATCAGGAGGGGTATTAGGAGATGGAGGGTCTGAGGAAGGGGATACTTGTGACATAAGGGATTCACGTGTGTATCCAGGAGGGAGTGGAAGGGATAGAGGGGATGGTGGGAGAGTTAATGTGGGCTGGGTTGGGGTCAGGGGGGATGGGCTGTGTTGGGAGGGGGTAGGAGGGTAGGGTGTAGGGGGGATATCGTTAGGAGGAGGATGGATATCAGCAATTACTTGGAGTGTGGAAGGAGCAGGAGTTGTAGGTTGAGAGTTCATTAAGTAATCTTGAATATTTTCAATAGTTTCTTCTGTGGAGTTGGTTGGGGAGTTTTGGGGGATAAAGGATTTCTTGTGAGGGGGGGAAGAGAGAACTGGTGTCTCAAGAGTACGGGCAAAGGATGGTGGGGGTGATTGTGTGGTAGGGGAAGAGGGGGTGGAACGTTTGTTCTGTCTGTTACGGGGAGTGCGAGGAGGGAGAGGGGAAGGTGTTGGGGTTGTAGTGGTGATTGGAGTATCTGTAGTAGAGATTGGAGTTTCTGGATTTAGGATGGCAAAAGAGTTTGACTGGGGAAGGTAGGAGGTAGAAGTGGGGGGGTTAGATGTAGGAGGGGTGGGTTTAGGAGAAGTGTTAGAATGAGCAGTATTACTGGAGTAAGGAGTAAGAGAGAAACCACGTCGACGTGCTTCCTGTCTGGCTTCACGCAGTGTGAGTCCGAGTTTGAATCTGAGAGCTGCTACCTCAGATTCAAATTTGTAGGTGGGACAGCCCCTATAAAATACATTATGGGGGCCGCCACAGTTGGCACATGTGCGTGATTGTGCAGAGCAGTTAGATCGGGTATGGCCAGGTTGGGCACATAATGGGCATCTGGCTGTGGAACGGCAGTGTTTGGCTGGGTGTCCTAGACGCCAACAATTTTGGCACTGACGTGGAGGAGGTTGGTATGGACGAACAGGGAGGGATTCTCCTCCTATGTAGACGTTAAAGGGAAGGTCATGTCTACGGAAGGTAATTTTGGCTATGTTAGTGGGTTTCTTTCGATGACCTCTGGGGGGGATGGAATAGCATTGTACTGATGTTGCATCGTAGTCTGTGAGACAGGCAAGTAGATCTTCTCCACAATCTGACCATTCTTTGTCATAGATTGGGCAATTTGTTGGTGAGATTGAGACTGTTCCGGTGCAAGTATTGAGGGTTGGATGGGGTTCTGCTAGGATGGGGTTACCATATAGGTCAGTTAGTTTTGTTAATGCTATGGCTTGGTTTTCGGATGTTACTGTTACAAGACGGGAGCGGTCGGGTCGGCTACGGAAAGAGACTTTACCTACTTGTTTTTGGAGGCATTGTTGGAAGAGAAGGGTCTTGTTAGAGTAGGGAGCTGTGGGAGGGATCACGAAAAATCGGTCCCATTTGGCTGCACTGAAGAGAGTATTCAAGATTGTTTTAGAGATAGGGGTGGTAGAAGGGCGAGGGCGTGACGAAGATGGAGTAGTGTTGATGGAGGTAGTGTTATGGAGAGGTGGGCTATAAGGCTGTAAGGTATTAATAAGGGAGGATGGGGTGGTTGATGTTGGAGGTTGTGGGGGTAGAGGTGTTGAAGTTGGGCATGCTGGGAGAGTGGAAATGTCCCTTGAGGGTTGATTGTTGGCTACTGTACTAGTAGGCATTGGTGAAGGGGTAGTTATTGCAGTGTTTGGAGCCGTGGTCAAAGGAGAGCCTGGGGTCGGGGAATCGGGTGGGTTTACTTCGTTGGGGCTATTTGATAAAGGGGCAAGCCTCATTGCCCCTAACAGTGGGGATATATTTTCATTGCTGGCCATGGGAAGCCTGGATTATGTTGGGGATAAAAGCAGTCCACCCCTCAGGGTCCCCTTGAGGGGTAAGGGCTAGATAACTAAATCAGGGGAATACCGTGCCCATGGCTCCCTCAGGCCGTTCAGGACTGGCACAAAGTCAGCCTTTCATCCTTTCAGCACGGCTCTCACACCTTAGGAGGTGGATAGCAGAAGGGTTTGGTGAAGGGACAGAAACAAAAGTGGGAAGGGAAAAAAAAAAGACCATGCATAATTAGTTGAGTCGAGGGCTGAGTCCCAAGGTTGGGGAGTTCCCCATCATTGGGTCCCAGTCTCCGCCTCCTAAGCCCCCCCACGACAACAACGGGCAAGGGATTGGGGGGGGGGGGATTGGTGTGTGTGTGTGTGTGTGTGTGTGTGTGTGTGTGTGTGAGTGTGAGTGTGTGTGAGTGTGTGTGAGTGTGTGTGAGTGTGAGTGAGTGTGAGTGAGTGTGAGTGAGTGTGAGTGAGTGTGAGTGTAAGTGTGAGTGAGTGTGAGTGTGAGTGTGAGTGTGAGTGTGAGTGTGAGTGTAAGTGTGAGTGTAAGTGTAAGTGTGAGAGTGAGAGTGAGAGAGTGAGTGTGTGTTTGTGTGTGTTTGCGTGTGTTTGTGTGTGTTTGCGTGTGTTTGTGTGTGTTTGCGTGTGTTTGTGTGTGTTTGCGTATGTGTATGTGTTTGTGTGTGTTTGTGTGTGTTTGCGTATGTGTGTGTGTGTGTGTGTGTGTGTGTGTGTGTGTGTGTGTGTGTGTGTGTGTGTGTGTGTGTGTGTGTGTGTGTGTGTGTGTGTATGTGTGTGTGATTGTATGTGTGTATTTTTGTGTGTTTGTGTTTGTGTGTGTTTGTGTTTATATTTGTGTTTGTGTGTTTGTGTGTTGTGTGTGTGTTTAGTGTGTGTGTTTAGTGTGTGTGTGAGTGTGTGTGTGTGTGTGTGTGTGTTTGTGTGTGTGTGTTTGTGTGTGTGTGTTTGTGTGTGTGTGTGTGTTTGTGTGTGTGTGTGTTTGTGTGTGTGTTTTTGTGTGTGTGTGTTTTTGTGTGTGCATGTTCACCACATAGTAAGGTAGTCTTTTGTTTTTATTACATGTAAGTTATTTTTTGCTATCCTACATGAGAACTTCAAACATTTTATGTTACAGGTCATGATGCTGTTAATGATGTCAAAGAAAAGACGAGAAACTGGGATTCTGCCAATGGTGGTATTATCACTCTTTGTGTCTGCTCAAACTTCAGATATCACAAGACACCAAATCACTGATGAATCCTCCTTCAACACCACAGACCCCTCCAAATTATCAATGGAGACTTCCAGTCCCCTACAGTCTTCCTCGAACCATTCACATCTGCCAACCACAGCTGTCAGACATCACATCAGCCCTGATAATACCTCGATTGTCATCCCTTACTTCAAAGAGCATGTACCTCTAAAACTTATGTTCATGATACATGTGATAAATTTCTGTAAAAATCAACCACAATCATTCAAACATTATCTTATTAAATTGAGACTGTGCAAGAACACTAATGCAATTAGGCCATTTCAAAAGAAGACACTTTATTTCTGCTTCCGTGAGTACAGGCGACTCTATGGTAACAAAGCTTTCCCATCACCCTCTACTTTCCAATTAGGTCCGGGAACTTCAGTGAAGATATATCGTCAGGAACCATTTGTGAGTATGTGTCTTCCTAATTTCCAGAGGAATAATTTGTGTATCGAGAGAAAATACATGACTTTCTGCTTTGACGAGATGATTGTGTTTCTCCATAGTCAGAGTTGTACTCCACCGTCAGATGAGGACAAGCATTTCGAGATTCTCTTAACATACACGAACTTGGTAATGGATTATGACTGTTTTCAGAATATATGCAATGGGTTCTTTAGAGTCATTGAAAGAAATATAAATGGAATCAGAGTAATAGTGTGGAGGCTAGTGAACAAAAAGAGTAAGTGTCAATACTTACTTCATTATAAAGACATATTGAATTTCTTTGTTGATGAAAGTAGGGTAAAATTTGCTATTACAGGGAATCTACATTTTCCATGTTGCTATGCAATGCATTATGCCATGTGGCTTGGTGACCCTGAGGCAGTGGGACTCAATGTATTCTGGGATTATTTACCCTTCTGGTGTCGTGTAGGAGAAATCATCCTTACTGCTTTTGTTGCGAGCATTGGGATAACTGGAATGCTGGGAAACCTGCTGATAGTGGTGGTGATGTTTAAGAGTGATCAGTGGGATGCTTCTAGGATATTCCGTACATCCCTCGCCTTCTCAGATCTTTTAACTAGTGTCTTTGTAGTCATTCCAGCCTTTGTTGATCATTTAAGGCCAATCATTAGGTACTCTGACTTTCAGGAAAATTACTTAATTTCTGAATATGTTAAAGGTCATAAACAAACACTCTTATCATGTTCATTTAAGCAGCTCATCCCAATTACCTATGGATTCCGAATCTTTCAGGGATTAATATTTGGCACGTGTTCACTGGTATCTCTTCTCACACTCTTCCTTCTAAGTGTTGAGAGATTTATAATAACAGGCCGTGCACTTCACTACAAAGATTATTTCACTGTTCATCGAGTCAAGTTCTTCCTAATCTTGATCTGGATTACTGCTTTTGTGGATACCCTCTTCTTTATGTTTGATGGAAAGAGCAGTTTAGAAGTTACTTTTTCCACTTTGCTGAAACTTCCTATTTCAATATCAGGAGGAAAATTTAATAAAGAACTGCGGTGGCTTACCACTTTCCAGATCATCTTACTAGGCTTGCTGTGCACATCAACCATAATAATTTCCGTTATATCCGTGGGCATATTCACACGGACGCAAATAAGAGTAAGGGAAAAATGGAGGAGAATGAACATGAGGGTTTCGGGTCCATTTCAAGAAGAGAACCGGTACATACTGGTGTCTTTGTGCATGTTGTCTCTGTTATTCATGATATCTACAGTGCTGCGTGGAATTGTGTTAATGTTCATCCAGCTTGATTTTAGATTTGCCAATGATGAACTTGTGGATTATTTCAGCTGGTGGATATTTCTTTCCGGGAATGCCTGGAATCCAATGATTTATAACATGCGAAGTCAAGAATTCAAACAGGAGGTGAATAAAACACTCCACTCAATGATTCCAATGTGGTTGAAGAAAAAAATGGGAAGTTCTGGGAGAGACACAAAGGCTAGAGAAGAGGAGTCTCAGATGAGAATGCTTAAAAAGCTGAATTTAATTTATCAGTAAGACCTCAAAATATATGCATTTTATGTCTCTCTGTTTGCTTGAGTATTTCTGGGAGATCATGGACAGATAAAAATATCTTGGAAAACTCTCCCTCTCTCTCTAATAATTGTGATTATTATAATAAATGTACAAAATGTGATCATTATGACTTCATGAAACTGATGTGATTTAGGATTTTATATAAAAAAGAGCATCAAATGCAACTAATAACAAACAGTTGGATTAGACTTCCTCAGAGAATACTATTGTAAAATGTACAATTAGTATTTGCTTTCATAAATATGCTTCCAGCTACAAGAAAAAAAAACATCCCATAAAACAAATGAATATTCTTTGATTTGTCTATATATATCATGTGTATTTTTTAATTGTTTATAATAGTAAGTGAAATAGTAATGAAGGAAAAAATAAATATATTAAAGTAAAAAAGTGATACTCATAAATCCAAAAACCCATGTATTCTCCTTTTCTAGCATTTACAAACCACCATTCATCACATGCTGGTGACATACTTTTCTACTATTTTTGTATGAAATAAGTGTTTTTTTGTTGTTTTTTTTTAAAGAAAGCCTGTTATATACTATACAGTGCAGCTCAACTGCTCATACTGCATGGTAAATCCACTTCACAACTAAAAGATGAAAATCCTGGAATGCTGCTACAGAAGACTTCTATGTTCACAATTTATTTTCAGCTTCCTGTCCACTGTACATAGTAGGTACATGACTGAAATATTTTTTGATCCCAATGTGTCTCCATCTTTTCATCTCCCACTATTTTTTCCCTTATATAAATCATAACTTAAATTACAGTCACATACTCAAAAGCATCTTGAGCAAAAAAAACATCCTGGAAATAAGTACAAAATTTTCCTATGGCACAGTCAGAAATGATAAAAAAGTAATGGGAATAAAAATAGCACATACATGTAAGTATTTTTTTCACTTTTACCATGAGCATTAACATCTAAGTTTAAAAGGTAATAAAGAAATGTATGCATGTACTTTTATATACATGTATATACATAAATGTGTGTGCTGGCATGCAAGCATACATGTACAGGTACTTATATACATGTGGTTTGAATACACATGTGAACACACTTACAAACACAGACCCATGCATCCATATGCAACAACTTACAAACACCCCAACATCCTGACAAGCATATGCACACAAGCACACATACATATGTATATTTATATCTTATTATTTACAAATGTTTCTTGGATACACTGCATCAGCATTCCTTTTTAATGTACTGGTTTAAGGTGATACAATTTATTACTACCATATGTAACACTTGTATGACATTGATGACTAAATATGCTGTAAAGAAATTTTACTCTCATTCCCAATACATAGTATATTATTATTCTAACTATCATTTGATCCTGAACTATCATATTCTTCGTACTCATAGTCATACTCCTCTTCTGCCGGTGGCTCTCCCATGTCCACCTGTTGGTTTGATTATGAATACTGTTACTTTGTAACCAAATCACAATGGAAATGTTAAATGTAATCAATATACATTATCTAAATGAAATATTCTCAAAAGCTATATAGAAATATCAGAAATGACTAAATAACTACTAAGTGATGTCTCATTGTATTTGAGATAATCAATAATCAATAATAAGATTATAAAATTGTAAAGTAAGCAGTAATTCTTACGCAAAATATCCATAAATGGTCCCATATTATTTTCTACCTACTTCCTTGGGTAAATGCAGATCAAAACGGGAATTTTTTTCTTTAGGTGCAAGAGTGTTTGTATACCCTACATTACAGGATATAAATGAACTTCCCTCCTTACCTGAACTAGACCTGCTGCAATAGCATATCCAAACATTGCTGAAAATGCAACAAGTGCTGAGAGAAGCATATTTCTTCCTTTGTGAGGTACATCATCTTTAGGTGGTGATTCTCGCCTCTCTGTGCTTCTGTGACTCTCTAGAGAAAAACAGTTTAAATGTTTATTAATGTCATCTAGAATATCCTTTCTGACTGAAAGAATAAAAGATCCATAGCATTTAAGTCAAACGTAAAGTCTTTAATAATATACTTTCAATATCAAGTAATTTTGAAGAGGAATGTAAAGAATTAAACAGTATATTTACTGTTTAACTAAATGGTAGATCTGCATTTCAAGTAATGCCTCTAAACTACTACCACTGATCAGTTAATATAAAAATCCATATCTAGTCTTTACTTCTATCATATCATACTATTCTTTGTATAACAGATGGGATGGTGGCAATGATTGAGAGTTTTTGCATTTAGATTATTGATCACTTGGCAGAAGTTACACTTGTGGTAAAATTAAAATGCAACTTGCATCTTTCTGCCACCAAATTCTTCTGATGTTTATATAAAAGGAAATGGTACTCCTGCAAAAATCCTACCACATGAATGAACCCAATGCAGCTGATAAATGGTTAAAGTTTAAAATAAATACATGTGCTAGACATCAAGGGTTATATAGCACTAAAAATTAGTAAATGATTAAGATAAAATGTGTTAGATGTCAAAGGTTGCAGATGGTTTATGATTAAAACAAATAAATGTGCTAGCCATTAAAGGTCATATAGCACTATGGTAAAGCATTGTGGCAAAAAGGGTTAAAATGTGTTCACAAATAGGATAAAATGTGTTAGATGTCAAAGATTATAGCAATGTGGTAGTGAAAAGGGTAAAGAGGGGTGAGCAAATGGAGTACAGCAGGGAAGGGGTTGATGGCACAGGACAATTCAATCAGATGGAGAGAACTGTGTGTCTAAGGAAGGCAGAGGAACACTGTATGAAGATAACTGCAAAAGAGCAATTATGAAACAATCACCAGGCCATAAGGGTAGAAATGGTAGTTGAAGTAGGAGATAAATCCAGGGAATGTAATAAGGGAACAAGGGACGGTGGTGAAGTAACAGGAAAAAATGTCAGGAGGGGTAGGATACAGAGAAGGAAACTGTTGCAACATAAGGGAGTCATGTGAGGATTCAGATGTACATGAAGAAGGGGAGGATGAAGTGAGCTGGGAGAGAGTGGGAGGAAGAGGGGTAGGGGAACTTGACGAGGAGGAGGATGGATATCAGCAATTACTTTGAATGTAAAGGGAATAGGTATAGAGAGATTGAAGGGAGGATGAGGGAGCATCCTCTTGGATCATTTAACCCAATGACGCCGGGTGTACAAAAGGAAAATAAAACTCTACGCTCTGGCAAACAAAGGCGGCGCGCCGACTTTGAGCGCCGGAGTACAGGGCGTCAGCCCGAATCACTGGCTCGCCGCGCTTTGGCGCGCCGCCGGCTGGTTTGGCCGCACGCCACCTTTCGAGCGATTTGTTTACACGCATATCGCCGTCACCGGGCGGCAAGGGGTTAAGAAAGGTTCTGGAGGAGAGTTGGATGGGTTGAGACAGGTTTTCTTATGAGGAGGAGAAGAGGGGATAGATGTCCAAGAAGTAGAGGAAGAGGTGGGTGAAGGAGAGGATGTGGTAGAAGATGGGGTGGTTCAGGTAGAGGGAAGAGATATTGGGAGAGATGCTGAGACATCTTGAGAAGATGGGAGGGGAGCAGAGCAAACAACGATCTTGGAATAAGAAGAGGGAAAAAAATCTCTTTGGTGTGCTTCTTGTCTGGCCTCGCATAGAGTGAAGCTAAGTTTGAATCTGAGAACTGCAACCTCAGATTCCTATAAAATATGTCATGGGAATCATCACAATTGGCACACCTGCATGACTGAGCAGAGCAATCTGAATGGTAATGACCAGGTTAGGCACATAGAGAGCAGCAGGCTGTGGAGCCTCAGTGTTCGGCTGGGTGGTCAAAATGCCAACATTTCTGACATTGATGGGGGAGGGGTCAATAGGGTCAAATAGGGCAGGACACTCCACCAATATAAGGTCATGTCTACAGAAGTTAATCTTGGCAATATTGGTGTAGGACTTGTGCTACGAGGAATAGTGTAACACTGTACTGCCACTGCATAATATTCAATGAGCAGGCAAGCAGGGCATTTTCACAGTCTGACCAGACAGGGAAATGGGTCAGGGAGATGGAATCATTTCTGGTAAAAGTATTAAGAGAGGAATGAGGTTGAGGAAGAAAAGGTTTACCAGTAATGTGAGACAGGGTTGATAGTGTACGAGCTTGGGACTCAGATGTTACTGTGACATCAGAACAACTGCAAAAGGAAGCTTTGCCTACTTGTTTTTGAAAAAATTGTTGGAAGTGAAGGGTACTGTCAGAATTTGGGGTAGTAGGTGGAGTCACAATGAATCAATCCCACTCACCTGGGCTAAAAAGAGTACTCAAAAGATTTACAAAATTAGAAGCAGAAGGATGGAGGTGGTAGGAAAATGGGGTGGTGTGGAGTGAAGTAGTACTATGGGGAGGAAGACAAAAAGGATGAAGAATAGTAGTAAGGGAGGAGGGGGTAGACGATGGAGAGAAGACTTACAGTAGATGGAGTGGAGAGTGTTGGGAGTGAGGAAGGGGTGTATTCTACTGACCTGGGTGATTGATTAGAAATAGATAGAGTTGACAACAAACAGGAGGAGATATTAGTATCATTGGCTGGAGCTGTGATCAAAGGAGAGGCTGGAGTAAGGAAACCAGAGAAGTCAAATTTAGGACAGACACAAAGCCAGCTTTTCATCCTTTCAGCATAGCTCTTACACCTTAGGAAGGGATGGAAGAAGAAAAGGAAAAGGAAAGGAGGTGAAGAAAAGACCATGCAAAATTAGTTGGGGCGAGTGCTGAGGTCCAAGGTAGGGGTACACTGATCCTCAGTCTCTGTGTCCTAAATGCCCCCACAACAAGTGATGGGGGGGGGGGGGGATATTAACTGTAATATTGTTTTCAGGAATGAATCTACCCATAGATAGCTCCACAAGTGCTCAACCTCGAAGGAGTCAATAAGACTTAGGTTTTGGGGATCCCCATCCCCCTAATGCTATTGATATTGATAGTTACTATTACTATTATTGACACCATAATTACTACAGTGTTATTAATAATACTTATAGCAAGATAAAATCAAATCAAATATTTCCAAAAATTAAGGAAAAGGGTAAATACAAATAAACTAAGTTCACTGTGGGCATGGCATGTACAAACATGCTATCCCTAGCAGAATTGGGTTAATACATTTCCTGTGCTTTATCCACCTCTTAGCCAAAGCTGGTAGAAACAGGGTTATTTTAACAGACAAATTTGTATTATCAAGGACTTCTTATAGTTTCCATCCATTTTACGTCCCTGGTCACCAAGGTTATGCAATTTTCATGCCCCCAGGCCTTTGATCCCATTCATTCTTTTCGTCTTTGCCAGCCAACCAAAGTTTTAATCGCTTGCTTTTAGTTTGCGTACTGTCCAATGTTTTGTTGTGAACTTCGTTGTATGTAGATGGCTCTAGCCACCAAGGAGTCAATTTTTGGGCCTTACTGACCATGCCAATTTACCCTTACCCTCCGTGTTCACAGGCACAAGCATGCACACATCCAGAGAGAGAAAGAGAAAGAGAGAGAGAGAGAGAGATTGAGAGAGAGAGAGAGAGAGAGAGAGAGAGAGAGAGAGAGAGAGAGAGAGAGAGAGAGAGAGAGAGAGAGAGAGAGAGAGAGAGAATCTTGACAAAATTCAAGGAAAAGCATAATAACGAGAAAAAGGCAGGACTAATAATTGATTACTTGGTGACTAAGCACTTGTGGAGACAATCTCTGTGTAAAAATAATTAATATTACAGTGGACAGAGCATGGATTCATGCCATCCACAGCCATTAGGTTGAGATATGATAAACTTTATCAGCAGGTAGACCAACAGGAACAAGGTCTAATTTTCAAATCTTAGGAGAAATTTATCCAGTTCTTGAAAGCAATAATCTAGAAATAACCTCCCTCAACTCATTCTGCCATGGCTATCTGAGATCAAAGCCTATCATTATAAGGAATGCACATATTCTTTTTGACCTTCAATTGGCATTAAGAAGATATAAAATTTACCATGAAATTGTCTAAAACAAAGAATTTGTAAGTGAAAATGAACAAATAATGACTCTGAAAAGTATCAATTCCATCCTATCTATTGCCTAGATTGTTCAGCAGAAAAGTTGCAAAAACTGCCCATTTTACTCATTCTTGTGGAGGACCTGAGATTTCTGTGGGAAAGCTATTTCCTTTTACAAAGCATCACCTTAAAAAGTTGTGCCATAAAAATTGAAGACACAAATATATCTTTTAAACATTCTAATCATTAATTGCATTAAAGTAATGGGGTGATATACTAAGAAAAGGTAGTCTATCATCATTCATTCTGTGTTACATCAAAAAGTTACTATTGCTACATGAAATAAGAATCAACCTACTTCCTGAAGCTTAATTGTAGTAATACAGAAATATATGACAAAATACAAAATATTGCTCTTCTTCTATAAATGGGTCATTAAGTAATTTTTTTACTTGCTTTGTCAAATCAACAAACCAAATGACAATCTATTATACTATTTGGGAGACTTATTACTAAATACCAGTTACTGTATCCAATATTCAAAATAAAACAGAGACTGACGTATAGAATGTGAAATATACATAATGAATTTTCTATGTGAGTGAAAGATAATCAAATATGTAACTTTCCAAATGCCCGTCTCATGATTGAATTGGTTAATTGTATTTCCATTTACAGCTTTGTAATATAGGCAAATGGTATCACAGAATAAAATTACTGTAATGGTAATCGATTAGACAATCTAGACATATATTCAGTAGAACATAAAATTGAAATGAATGCCCAGAATCTCATTATAATAATAAAAATGAAGCTGTAGAATAATGAAGATGCCTTTCTACTTGCTACTATTACACTTCCTTGCATCCCTAGGTAATCCAACTGTGCCTAGCCTGACTGTGACATATCTGGCCCCATACTACCAAAAGCTCAAAAAAATATCAAGCAACAGGTTTTGGTGTGAGTAAACTGATGGGCAGAAATACATGCATGTACAATCTTTGAGGTTACATACACTATTACTGACATATAATAAATACATTCATTTTGTTCTGCAGTTTAACAGCTAAATATGAGCTTAAGGTTAAAATATATACAT